CTTTGAATTAAGAGCAAAAAGGGCATTCCGGTGCACTAAATTAACCTCATGAACACGCCTCATGAACACGTGACAACAACTTTACCAGTTACGTCGAACAATAAATAATAAATATACCTGAGCAGCTTTGTAGGCAAGCATAGTATCCTCAGCAGCTTCCTTACGTTCATTTCCAACTTTGAATTCAGCTAAATAACGATAATAATCCCCTTTCATCTTCAAATAAAACACCTTCGATTCGCCAGCAGAAGCTGAAGGAATCAAATACTGATCCAAAATCTTCAGAATTCCAGCACAAACATCACTAAGCTCAGATTCAACTTTAGATCTGTAATCCTTCACTAGAACCACATGCTCATCGTTCTTCCTACCTTCCTCCTTCTGCTCAATTGACGACACAATCCTCCACGCTGCTCGAAGTGAGCCGATAACGTTCTTATACGCCACCGAAAGGAGGTTTCGCTCTTCCACCGTCAGCTCCGATGAACCCGACCCGATTACGAGCTTGTCCATGAACTTCACCATCTCCTCATATCGTTCGGCTTGCTCAGCTAGCTTCGCTAAGTACAAACACTGCTCTCTGGTTAAATTTTCAGGCAAGGCCATCGTCGGTCGCCGGTTATTTCCGCCGGAGAAATTTTCCCTTTTTTCCTTTTGGTGTTTTGAAGTTTTTCCTTTTTTTCGCTTTTTCGAACGTTTCGAAGAGAGGATTTTATAGTAGGAAGGAAGTGTGTATTTTTTTTTTGTAACGCCCACTCGCGAGTGTAAGCTCCACTTGTGCACTCGCCACGAGGACGATCGACGTCTTTAGAGTGATCTCGTAGTTCCTTGCACATAGACATAATGGAGTCGATCTATGCATCTTAAAACTACTATCCATCTTTCCTAACCACAATAAATAGTTTTCGTACTTTGATAAGGCATTGAGATTCTGTCACAAGTCATAACCTATGTTGAAGCGATATTTATCTTTATCTGATCAATTACGTAAAGCCATGATAATAACGAAATTGAGAAACAATATAAAGAAAAAATATAAAAAAATTTATTAGATTAGTATTAATTAGTGATTCCGATTATACGTTAGAAGAAAGAGTGTGATTGCACGTAGGGGAGAAGCGCGTGGGGAAGAGAGGTGTTGACGTGTGATTGGTCAATAAAATATGAGACTGAGGATAGAGCTTAATGGTGAGAAGGATGAGAGTCAGACTCCACTAGCCTTCCTTTTCTCTAATTTTGGAGTTGGAATTAAAAACAAAAACAAAAACAAAATAGAAATAAAGTGTTAAAATAATTTAAAAAGTTTTGTTCTATTCTCATATATTTTCTATTGATATAAATAATAAATATAATAGTAGCTTCAAATTTAAAAATAAAATAAAATGTGTGCTTATACATGGGAGGAGGCTTCATTCTTTCCATATTCCTTTTTTATATATTTTATTTAGTTATTCATTAAATAACAATCGGTTCATATTTTTTAAGTTTGATCATTGATAAGGTTTAAAGAAAGGTGAGTCATTGATACATAATTGATAAAAAAAAAACAATGTTAGTAGCTAGACTATTAATCTTTTGGAGTAGCTTAACTCTAAGAAAGAGATTACAATCGTCGACAAGAATAAAATATGTTGTTATGAATTCTTTAAGATTAGTTGAATAGGCTGACAGACAACAAACAATGTTGAGCAATGTTTTTGGCTCTACCCTAACTTCTCATTCCTTTCTCTCCGAGGCTTTGATCGTATCTAACGTCTATTTTTAAAGCAATCAGGGATGGGTAATAATGCATCCAAGCACATAACGCGCATTTAGTAGGGTCCAAGATTGCTTTTCCGAATGGAATAGCATTGATCTTTGCTTCTATAAGACATAATTCAAACATATCTAACGAATTATTAAGATAAAAATAAAATTTGAATCAAAGTTATTGAGTTTGATTGAGTTCATAGTCAATACTCTAACTCTGTCATGTTTGCAATATATGTAAATAGTTTTTCCTTCCTACTAGTTCCTATAGTAAATTTATTTGATGAACTACTTATAAAGTTTTGTTTTATAATTATTGATACTGAATTTCTTAAAAATACATGAACCATCAAATAATTCATCAGGAAATGACTAGCTATTGTCATTGAATATGTCAACTTCACGTTTTTTTTTTTTTTTTTTTTTTTGCATTTTAGAGAATGGAAAATAATTATTAAAAAAGTAAGTAATAGCTAAAGTACACAACATGCACATATTAAATCATTTTGAAATTTATACTTATCAAAGCGCGCGTATATATATATATATAAATAATAATTTATGTTTACTCATCAAACACTATAAAAGATATGTGAGATTATCACTTATTATCGATGGAGAACGTTTTCCTACCTCCAAACACCTTTAGAATCTCAATCAAGTATCTTATAATTAATGATAGTATTTGATAGTGGACTTGTTTTGCGATCTGATCAATAGAGGATTCAAATCGAAAAATCACATATTGATAGATATAAAGATATAATACGTCCTATTAAAAGACGATTTCATACCTAAAACTCGAACTATCCATCATTTCTTTATACTTGTCAATAGGGTTTGTTAGATGGTTAAAAGAGCCAAAAATAAATATTAAAAACACCTAATAATAAATTTATGAAAACTAGTAGAATCATATCACATGACTAATGAGTTGTTTCAAATTCATCATTTGTTGTTTCCTTGTTGGAATTTATGGTGTTTTGTCTGTTTTTCACAATTGTCAGGTTTGTGTTGTTGTAGCATTAGACATGCATTTCCATTTTAGTTCAGAGTTTACACATGCATGATGTTTTTTAATAAATAAGTTATGTTTCATGTAGTAATATATTTTTTATATTATCAAATTAAAATGGTGCCTCTTGATTAATTCTATAAAATATGTCATTTCTCATCAGCAACAAATATCGAGTAACTCTAAAATCACTAGGCCACACTCTTGAATTTACCATCAGATTAAATTAATCTGCACAAATGCATAAATTTACATGTCAAGTTAAAATTTGCTTTTCCTTCTGATATTCGATAAATTCATCGTTGTCCAATTTTGCACTGTTTCTTGTTATTCGTTATACTTTATATTGTCCCCTTTTTTAATATGGGGATTTGTTGCACTGAAGTCGGGGGTCCTTCGATAACAACTTCTCTACCTCCACAAGATAGTGATAAGGTCTGCCTACATTCTATATACCCTCCACATACCTCATTTGTGGGACTTCACTGGATATATTGTTGTTGTTATTGTCATTATGGTCTGTTTAAATTTAAATTCACAAACAAAAACTTGATTAGACAAAATGAAGTGTTAATTATATCTAATGTTGTGAGTAGATTTGATGACAAAGAGACAAAGCTGAGTTAATACATGTTTCAGCAGTCACGTGAGTAGGCACGTGGACAGTGGCTTTTGAATCTCAAATTTGAGACAAAAGATAAATGATGAAGAAATCTCTCCAAGTGTAAATAATGAATCCACGTTAACTTAATATATATTTTTTTGTTTAATATTACATTTATATGTGTATTAAAATATCTACTAAATATTTAAGATCATAAAATATATTTTGTTTTTTGTCCTTCGTTAGACCTTGTTACCTTCCGGCTTAACAAAGTTTTGAGATCGAGCATTTTCTTTGTGCCACCTTCTTTATAGAAGTCACTGGCCAAATTTATCATGATGTTCGAATTCTATGATAGAGAACCTGCATAAAAAACACTTTTATAAAAATATAGGTTTAAGATTCCATCATATCATACAAAATATATATGATCTTATTCTATTGGGTATATAGGATATTAGAAGTTATTTGAAAAAAAAAGAAGTAAAAGTTATCGAACTTTTAGCTCATACATTTATCCAAAAGCAAATATAGTTTATTGATTTCACCAAATGCTTTTATGCCTTTAACAAAAATTGTATAAGTTTATAGTTATGTCAATGATGGCTTAAGCCATCTATTGAACCTAATGAATTTCATAATCTTTATATAATAAGGTGAAATGTATAAATTTTTATTTTCGACATTGCTATTTAACTTATTTTCTTATGTTTTTTTGCTTGTGTAGTTACTTCGAATCAACTTTAGGTAAAAACATATGAACTTCAGCTATATAAAATTTCAAACAATATATATAAAGTTTGATTTTATTGAAATCAACCAAATATCGTATATCTAAAGTGGTATATGTGTAAAAACAATAACAAATGAATGTAGATTAATGACCTAGTCAAAACAGACTACCTCATGAAATCCAATTGCATCACAAGGATTCAAATAAAAAAAGGTTCTTTCGTATACTTATATTAGCTATTGTTATTTCTTTCTTGATTTTGATAGTTTACGCTATTACATGAATTATATCTATTTATATAAATACTTTGAAAATATTTACTCGTTAATATGTAAGAAGTCCAATAGGCATACCTTGTAGTGATACAAAAATGATATTCACAATAACTAGAAACAAAAAAAAAATCATGAGTAAACATCGAGTTTCTAGTATTTCTTAGTAAAACAACAACATCAAACAACATATTTCGTGTAATTTCACAATAACAATAAAAATAACATATTTAATATAATCCCACACATAAGATCTAGGATTCGTTTAGTTGGGAACAAGTTATTTCGAAATTATTTCTATCATATATATGAAATAACTTATTTCATCTCTAAGGCATAAACGGTGGGATAAATAATCGCATGACTGCCTAATACCTCCAACCAAACGCAAGATGAAATAGTTCTGCATTTTATATTGAGATTATTATACGTTATATCTTACACTAAGCGATTCCTAAAAAATATGATAGACACAAATATAAAGAAATTATTTTCGACAGACTCTCGACTAAATAAAACAAAAAGAGCCCAAGAATGAGATTGATGGTGGTCCTAAGTTCAAAGGCCCAACTAAACTTTTCAATATAATACTACCAATAAAGATATTTCATTGCCTTAGCTTTTTTCTATTTCACTCATTTTTCTCCACCTGCTTCACATTCCAAGATTTTGTTGAGCCCAGTAACACTACCACCACACCTAAAAGCTAAAACCCTAGCGTTTTCTCCTCCTCTTCTTCTTCATCTATATAAACCTCCATTACCCCTCTGTTTTTTTTCAGGGTTAAACAGCAGTAGTAGCTGAAAAAATGGAGCTTTGTGTACCTCAAACCTTCTCGAATCTTCCAAATTATAGGCTTAGTAATCGAGCTCAACTCCAATGGAGACCCTCTCTTCTACTAAAAAAAAACCCAAAATCTCGATTCAATTCAGGTTGGTATTTCGAATTTTAGGGTTTTTGATTGGGTGTTAGAAATTGTGCGATATTTGTAGCTTTTTGTTTTCTGTATGTTCAGCATTTTGTTTTTTATTTGAAGAACTAACCTGAATAGCCGGCTACCCATTTGATTAATTAAACGAAAAATAGCAGGCGGATGTATAATTTTGGTATTATATGTGTATGATTGTGTACATTCTATGTATATCAGCTAGAAAAAGTAGTAAATAGTAAATCTTTTTCTTGGATTTTTACCCATTTCCTTGATTCCTAGAAGTCCCTTGTTCTTTTTTTTGTTTTTATTAAATTGTGTTGAAGTTAAATAATCTTTTGCTGTTTGGTGCTCTAATGCTAATGAGGATTGTTTAATTTACTGTTATGTAGTTTATATATCTATTGGGTGTAAGTTTGGATTATTTTTTTTCATTTCGAAAATAGTTTTTATGTTCTAATTTACTGTAATATAGTTATACCTGATACACTGAACTATACCAATGCAAAGGAAAACATCCGGCTACATAGTTACTATTTTCGTGATTTTTTTTGTGAAGTACTATATTTAATGGGCTCATCAATGTTTTCAAATTGGAGTTTTTGTTTTCTGGGTTAATGACAAGATTCAATATTTAGACTAACTGTGGAAAACATGTATTAAAATATGGCTTTTTGTTAAGAATTGCTCAGATTGTCGTTATATAGAGGCTGCTAAGTTTTGGTAATTTGTCTGAGAGCTCCAATAGTGACTTGAGGAAAGAAAGTTTAGTTTTTTGGCATTGGTTTTGTTGAGTTGTTCGAGACTTTGATTGGATAGTGGTGGTGGAAGAGTGATTGTTTGCCATCTTATGGTTTTCTGTTTATACTTCAGGATTATTTTACCGTAAAGGCTCAGCTGTTAGAACAAAAGCAGAGACAGAGGCTTATGAGTTATATGTACCTTCTACGGTTGAGGAGAAAGACGATGGAGCTGTTAGATCAAAAGCAGAGACAGAGGCTTATGAGTTACATGTACCTCCTACGGTTGAAGAGAAAGATGATGGAGCTGTTCGATCAAAATCAGAGGAAGAGCCTTATGAGTTATATGTACCACCTACGGTTGAAGAGAAAGATGATGGAGCTGTTAGATCAAAATCAGAGGAAGAGGCTTATGAGTTATATGTACCTCCTACGGTTGAAGAGAAAGACGACGGAACTGTTAAGAATGGAGCACCAGTAGAAGATTCTAGGACTGCCGCAGACACGGATGCTTATGCGTCTTTGATATACGAACCTCCTAAAGTCGAAGAGAAAGACGATGAAGCTGTTCAGAATGGAGCACGAATTGAAGACTCTAGTAAAGACAAAGAGACGGATTCTTATGCGTCTTTGATAGACGAACCTCCTAAAGTTGAAGAGAAAGATGATGGAGCTGTTCAGAATGAAGCACCAATTGAAGATTCTAGCAAAGACAAAGAGACAGATGCTTATGCATCTTTGATATACGAACCTCCTAAAGTTGAAGAAAAAGATGATGGAGCTGTTCAGAATGGAGCACCAATAGAAGATTCTAGGAAAGACGAAGAAACAGATTCTTATGCATCTTTGACATATGAACCTCCTACAGTTGAAGAGAAAGATGATGCAGCTGTTCAGGATGAAACACCAGTAGAAGATTCTAGGAATGATAAAGAGACGGATGCTTATGCAGCTTTGAAATATGAACCTCCTAAAGTTGAAGAGAAAGATGATGGAGTTGTTCAGGATGAAGCACCAATAGAAGATACTAGAGAAGACAAAGAAACAGTTTCTTATGCATCTTTGACATATGAACCTCCTACAGTTGAAGAGAAAGACGATGAAGCTGTTCAGAATGAAGCACCAATTGACGATTCTAGTCAAGACAAAGAGACAAATGCTTATGTGTCCTTGACATATGAACCTCCCAAAGAAGATTCTGCCGTTCAAGCTGAAGCACCAATAGAAGATTCTGCTTTGGAGTTTGAATCGCAATTGTCCAAGTTCTTTGACACGCTAAATATTAAGGTGCGTTCCATCTTCTTGTAGTTTGTTGTCTCAGTAAGACTTGCTGAACTAACAATTTGCTGTGAATATTGACTCTTTGACTAGCCATTCTGGTGTACCAAGTAGTATACATTTAATGGTCTGTCTGTACAGCAAACACCATATCATAACGCCCAAAGAATAGGAACAAGGAGATTAAAATTGCAATATCTGGAGAGGGAAAATGATCCATATGGAGAAGTGTTTCCCAAAAAAAAGAAATCCATTCAGAGCTATGTTGCTCGGACTCTTCAAAAATGTCAACGGGTGCGTGTCGGATTTGCCAAATGTAGTGTATTTTTGGAGAATTCGACACGAGTGCGGCATCAAAAGTGAAGAGTCCATGCAACTAAGATTCAGAGAAAAAATAAACATAGGTATACATTTTTGGGACATTGTTTCCAACAAATCAAAGTATTAAGGAGGTTAGTTAAGACATTTTTTAATTCCTTGAACAACACATAGAGTCATTGTCAAGACAGCTAGGTCAAAAATACAGGGATGAAGTTCATATTATAAAAGTATAGGCACAGCAGTTTGTGAAGATCTCTTATATACAATATTGACTACTATGCCTCCATCCAAAGCAAGTCTGGGTCACCTTTTTCTAACATATGCTAGCAAAGTACTTGATTTGTCTCTCTTTCTTGCTGGTGATTCTTTTTTATTGTCAAAAGTCTGACTGCTGTGATGAGACTCAGAACTTGTTGAAAGTTTGACACCTTGATGAAACCGTCAACAGTAATGTTGACCCTGAGCGGTTACCTGAGCAGTCATATCTTCATGCTTCTTCTAGTTGTCATATTTTGAAATGCTTGTGAAATTAATGTTTAACTGCAATGAACCTTTCAACAAATAGTAGTCTAAATTTGGTGATTTTTCAAATATTGAAATAGCCGGAAAGGAGACATAGGATACAAATAACTGACACAGCCGTCTGGAATGAGGCGTTGTTGATTCGTTGATTGATTTTCTTCTCAACTACTTGATATCAAATCCACCTAATTTCATTCCAGCACAATCAGTATTTTGGAAATTCTTGTTCCTTAATCTCTTACATATACTAGAAAAACACACATAATTTTTCTCTTTTGTTTATTGGTGTTTTTACTACAACAGCATACCCATTGAAATCCCATTATTGGTGTTTTTAAGATGTAGAAAAAGTCGTCTGCTGTGATGATACCCAGAACTTGTTGAAAGTTTGACACCTTGATGAAACTGTCAACAGTAATGTTGACCCTGAGCGGTTACCTGAGCAGTCATATCTTCATGCTTCTTCTAGTTCATATTTTGAAATACTTGTGAAATAGATGTTTAACTGCACTGCACCTTTCAACTAATAGTAGTCTAAATTTGGTGATGTTTTAAATATTGAATAGTCAGTAAGGAGACATAAGATACAAATAATTGACAACCATCTGGAATGAGGCGTTGATTGATTTATTGAAGCCATCTAAGTTCATTCAGCATGATCAGCATTTGTGAATTCTTATCCCTTAATCTCCTAGATGTATTAGAAAAACACACTTAATTTTTCTCTTTTGTTTATTGGTTTTTTTAAGATGTTGAAAAAGTCGTCTGCTGTGATGATACTCAGAACTTGTTGAAAGTTTGACACCTTGATGAAACCGTCAACAGTAATGTTGACCCTGAGCGGTTACCTGAGCAGTCATATTTTATCATTTCCTTTTTTAGTCTTCATTTGAAATGCTTCTGAAATACATGTTCAATAACCCATGTTTCAATAAATAAGTCCGTCTTTGATGAATCCTTTGAATATTGAAAGATATAGAGGATTTATATAAAGGACCCCTACTAATTTTGATTTGAGTCATTGACTTTCTTCATTTATAATCTAACATCAAACCACCTAAGTTCCTTAAGCTCAATAATTCTTATCCCCCTTCTTTCTAACCTATTCAATAAAAACACATAATTTTGCTCTCTTCTTGGTTAGTGTTGCTTTTGTATTACCGCAAGCGGACTGCTGTGATGAAACTTGGAATATGTCGAAAGTTTCTATACTTGGTGAAACCGTCAACAGTGATGTTGATCCTGAACGGTTACCTGAGCAGTCATATCTTAATCAATTTCTTTTTCTATTCTTCATTTTGCAAAGCTTGTGAAACATGTCCTATTGCAAGATATGTTTCAACAAAATACAGATGGTTTCTGATGGATCCAAATGATTTTGCTGTTGAAATTCTGGTTGAGGTATTTCTTGCTTCACTAGTTTACCCGTTAACACTTGTGACTATTTTCCTGCGAAGGGTCATCATGCAAAATTGATTTTTATCTTCCCCCTAATTTCCCACTGAATTATTCCTTATTAGATGTAATAGTTAGTATTAAATCTGGTTGCTGTGATGAAAATTCAGCTTTTGAAAGTCGCAAGGCTTGAAGATGCATCGGCAGTCATGTCGATTCTGAGCGGTTACCTGAGCAAACCTCACCTTCCTTGCTATTCTTTAAGTATCATACTGTCTGTCATTCTCTTCTCATAATCCTCCCTTCCTCTGTGATATATGATATGGTTGTGGTTCGTTGAATTATGCAATGTGCTCTTTTTTTCATCATGCAATGTATTTGGTGCATTTGTAGGTTCTAGTTTATGGGGATATGTGACATATTTTTTTGTTTTCTCAAATTTGTTTGTGTATGGCCTTCTTAGTGCTTCTTGCTTTTTAGGACTTGGGAGGGACGCTAACAAAGGATCTGGTGAATTTAGCTTTCGTTGTATAGCTTAACTTATTGACATCCAAATGCTTCATTGTATATGAGATTTTCTCGTAGCTTAAACTAAAGATATCCGCAAGCTATGGAAAATTTGAAGAAGCTAACTATCACTACTACCGTTTCACTTTTTCATACTGTTGATTATAAATTGTCGCCTTGTCTACATCTGAGATTTCCTTCCAATTGTTGACACAAAGATTTCCTACTTACCAGTATGATCCTAAAGATTCCTCTTCAATTATCCTATTTGGTGGTGCTGTTCTCACTGCTCTTTGGTTGACAACTTCAATTGTTGGAGCCATCGACTCTGTTCCTTTGGTTCGTACTTTCCTCTCTATCACAATCGACCTTTTTGTTATTTCTTTGAGATATGTTTTCCTCGTTGCTGACAGTCGTTCTGTATTGTATAATTTTTCAGTTTCCTAAATTAATGGAATTGGTGGGTCTTGGCTACGCTCTCTGGTTCACCTCCCGTTATCTACTATTCAAGGTAATGCCTGCACTACTTACTATTGCTCAAGCTGCAGTTCTAATTTCAGTGGACTCATCGACATGTCAATGCAGCTCATTATCGACTTGTGTATTCATCTTTTATGAGTTAGAAGCTTTACGTTCATTTATGGTTCTAACTCTTTGAAATGATATTGTATCTGCAGAAGAATAGAGATGAGTTTGCTGCTAAAATTGAAGATCTTAAGCAGAAGACGTTAGGTTCTCGAGATGATTAATTTTTACTTGGAGAGAACTTGTGTTTCTTTTTAGTTTTGTGCAAGAAGGAGCTGTATCTTATAGTAGAAGAGATCTATCCATGCCAGTGTGAATAATAGAAATCTGTGTATATGCACATTTGTTTTCTCGAACTCACGATCTATAAATCACATGAAAATAACTTTATCACTGTATCGTAGATGTAATGTGAGTAGCCTATCCTAATACGAATAGCAGTGACTGATTCTACGACTCAAACAACGAAACTTCCCCTCAGAATTTAATAATTTCTCAACTGATTCATTAAATTTCCGACTAACTATGCCTATTTAAATTACTTCATTAATACTAAGGTAAAACATTTATAATCTCGACTCTTTGCACTTTAATGTTCATTTGACCAATGCTTTGAAACTCTTTGATTTTTTCAAGACATTTATCATAAGTCAATTTTAAAATTACTCTTATCATATTTTGCTTTTTGAGATTTATGACATATGACATACATATTATGTCACTCATTCTTGCAAATGCATAGAGAGGACGCAAGTAAAGTAGTAGTGAAAACATTAGTCCAAAAAAGAAAAAACTTTAATACACAAAAGGAATCTAAAATTTTAGATCTTTCCAAATCACAGAATATTTAATAAATAAATTAAATATTTATTCCTTTTTTTGAAATCTTTTTCTTAGTCAATAAGGTAAAGCACCGAATACACTCTCTGTCCCATTCATACATTCTCTCACCTATTTGTTTTTCGTACTTTTCATATATTTTGAACTCAAGTGAAAATTTCGACTCCATCATTTATTATGACTTATTTTAAAATAAGTTAAGTAATTCTCATCCCTTTCCCAAATTTCGTGCCCACTCAATTAGTCCATATGTTTTTTTTTTTTTACTTGATCAACGCCCACTGCTTGACCATCCAACTCCGCCACGAGGCCACCCTCAAATCCTCATAATTTCACTATATTACATATAAATATTTTTAAAATAACATATTTTTACTTACTTATCGAACACTCAAAATAAGCCAAAAAAATAAATAACATTTTCCTTTCATCCCAATCACACCCTAAGCTTAATTAAGTAAATTTCTTGTGTGTACCGCTCCTCCCGCGGCAAAAAAGGCGCCACTAAACGACCAGCCGTTATTATAAGCCATTGCCACGTCATACTCACGTTACTTTCCTCACGTCTTCGTCATTTTTTTTATTTTTATATAATTAATAGAAATACTAAATTACTAATGCATGTGATTTTAACTAAATTTTCAAGTTTAACAGAAAAGAAAAGAGTAAAAGGTGGACAAAAGATAAACTTAACAGAAATTTAGGAGAATTCAAATGCATGATTTAACTAAATTTCCTCTAAATTATTGATCAGTAGATTATTTTGAGAATTACATTATTCATCAAAGTACGTGGCACAACAGATGAGACTATTTTTAAACTTAGTTAAGAAGTTTTAATTTTGAGTTACGTGTACGAATTTAATTATTTTTGACCGAGAGAGTATTTTGGTCTTACGCGAGTGAATTTGACTTAGTCAGACTTTAATGTGAGTCGGAAAAAAAAGAAAGAAGAGAAGGGACACAATTAAATGCTTTATGCTCTAGAGTGAGAAAGGTTTTTTATTTTCTTCTTCTTCTAAACTTGCTGTCACTTTTTTACCCTACAACAACAAGTGCATTACAATCTGTCTATGACTCTGTATAATATACATAACATGCATATAAAGAAAAAAGTTCCAATCTTTTCCTTATTTTAGTCATTTTTTTCTGTCCTTTTCTTTGCCTTTTTTTAATAATTTTTTTTGCTTTGCTCTATTTTCACTTGTTGTGTTATTTATGGCAAGTGAACTTTGTGTGTACACTGAATCTTTGATTTCTTAAGCAAAGATTGTCAAATTGGGTTTTGCTTTTCTTGATTGAGTTGCTAAGGGGCAAAAAAAAGCAATTTTTAGAACTGTGATTTGCTCATCTTTCTCATTAAAGAACTGGGCTTTCTTGCTCTTTGTAAGTTCTGGATACTTCTATTGGTTATTTCTGCAAACCCCATTTAGTTTTTTAACCCATTGTTTATGTGTTTCTATATGGTATTAGATATGTTAGTGTAAAAGCCCTAATCAGAATGTTGATTGACAGAAACCCTTTGACTTGCTCTGGATGATTAATGTCATATGTTAAGATTGTGTTAGTTGCTGTGTTTTCTTCACTGTCATTATTACTTGTTTGATTTGTTGCGCTTGAGTCGAGGATCTTTAGGAAACAACCTCTCTACCTTGATGAGGTAGGGTAAGGTTTGCGTACACGCGATCCTCTTCAGACCCTACTTAGGAGATTTCACCGGGTTCGTTGTTGTTGTTGGCTTTTGTTTGTGACAATAGGAAAAAGATTGTCTTTTTATTTGTTTTGTGCTTGCTGTGTTTGAGTATTTGTGATAAGTTGGACAACCCCTTGATTTGAATTAGGTAGGAGATAGTGTGAAGAAGAGATAACTTACAATGTATACTCAGAGAATGCAATCTGATCCTGTTCTTGGCCGAAAAAACAATGGATTGGGCTTTGGAGTAATATGTGGTTCTAACTTTCAAGCTGGGCATTTTCCATCTGGTGTTATCCCTGGTTCAAGAACTATACCTGTGAGTGGCAGTGGTGGATATGATAATGGGTGGGGGTCGGATATGGATATTGGTTTTGATTCAGATGATGAGGTTTATGATGGACATCACTCCGTTGAAACTTCACCCCAAGATGATAAGTTTCCGAATGTTGGTACTTCAAAGAGAGAGGATTCCTTCAATAAACATATTGGTAATGCCACCAATTATGAACTTCAGCAGAAAATGTGGAACCATTCTGAGAGTGTGTATCCTGGTAATGTAGTTAAAAGTTCATCAAATTCTGTTGCAAGTTCTAAAACTACAACTTCGTTGCCATTTTCGATCGGTAACAAGAGTGCCTCATCCTGGGAGTCGAATGTGAAGTCTTCTAGACAGGTTTGCTGTTCTACTTTTGCCTGTTGGGTAAACAATGTAGGACTAGTGAGTGAAATCTTGGGATAGTTTTATACTTGTTGAGTGATATAAAAAACTGAAGTAGTGTGAAATCTGCTAGGATATTACTTTAATGCTCAAACTGATGAATAAGGCTTGATATTTATGAAGTTCCTATTTTGGGGCAAAGTTTATGTTTGATCTGTTTATGCTTCTGCTTCTCATGGAATACAACAGTTATGGTTTATAAGAGTACCCATTGAATGTCTATTAACGAGACTCTAAAGTAACCAGGAAAGTAGACATAACATTTAGCAAGATTGTTATGTGAGTGTTTAGAGGAATCCCTTTTTTTCCTGAACTTATTTCTCTTGATGAGTAGGCTGCTTATTGCCACTACTTAGGAGACCAAGTATCTTGGGTTTCTATTTGACATAAGTTGCCCAAGAAGGTGGACGGAAGTTTAAGCTTTTAAAATCATTTGCAAGAAGTTCAAGCCTTAAAAACCGTGGTCCACACTGAATGAGGTACTTGTAGTGAATCAGGAATATCAGTAATTGTTTGAAACCAGAGGGTCTAGATGAAAAAAACTGGTGGGTGTAGATGCAGCAGCTATGTTGGCATCTTAGAGGTGTCACTTATTAATGAACAATAACTTCTGGCGATTCTTCTTGAATCTAAGTAGTTTGTAATGATAGTTAAGGGATAGTTAAGGGATTGAGATTCTTATGTTTGTTGTTTGTGGTATAAGCTCTGATCATCTGTGCCTCCATAACTGTGTCTGCGTAACTGTTATAAGGAGGATTAAGCACTCTGTTCTTCTTGTATTAATCTTTCATATGCGAATATGACAATATGTTACTCTTGTTCTGCCTACTGATTCTGTTATGTGCTGAAGCAGAGACTGAAGTTGTTCAAAAGTGATATTCCCAGTGCACCCCCGTTAGGTGGTTCATTACAGGAATGCGATCAAGTTGCTGTGCAGCGTAAAACTTTTGTGGCAGATGATATCCCCTTCCCAGAAATATCAGGTTGTTCTGTAGCAATGGATGAAGCTAAAACATATAAAACTGCAACCGCAGGTTCTACAAAAGATGGACAATCTAATCCATCTGGAAGGTATACATCATGACATATTTTATTTTTCTGAATAATCCCCGAAGAATTTGAAGACAAAAGTGACAACCTTGTTATCATTCTCAGGGCTGGTGGTGTACCTTCTAATTCTTCATCTGCCCTCTTTCCAACATATCATGCTAGGTATTTCACTCAGAGTGGTCTAAATTTTTCTAAAGTTTCTGTTACAATTATTCAATTTATTCATCATCTTCTTGTGTAATTTGAGTTGGATACAGTGGACGAGGTAGTTGGCAAGGTTTCGTTGCTTATGAGGCATGTATTCGACTATGTCTTCACTCATGGGAGAAGGGTTGCCACGAGGCTCCAGCTTTCTTGGAAAATGAATGTGCCTCGTTACGAGATGCTTTTGGGTGCGTTTTGTTCCAATACTTGCACTCTATTTCTGTTTCCATGTTCTGTATGTTCTACTCAGTGAAAAAATATGGAAGAAGCTATATCTTGTTTGGAGTCCCAAATAGTCCTGTCTTTTACAGAATACATTAATATGCTGCCAGAAATTGCAGAATTAGTCTGTTGGATTACAAAAAATGGTTTTCAGAGACGGATCGCTTTGGGAAGTTCAGAAGCTGAGACTTATCTGGATACCAATAAGTTGTCTACTTGTGATAGAAATTTTGAATTGGACTTTTATTTTAATAATGACTTGGTCTCTGGTACTGCATACTGAGTCTATATGATGTACTCTGTTTGATTTCCGTCACTTCCATAGGACCACCATTTTGCTTTGTAATGTTTGCGCATATTGTAATAGCATGTCAATTCATCAAAAAATTCATCCTGCACATTTATTTATCTGTAATATGGAGCTTATATTACCATTATTCCAGCGCAAGGCAAGTGTTGTTACAATCGGAGGAAGAACTGTTGAGGAAAAGGTCCTTGGAACTCGTCAGTGAGGGAGCCTCAATGAAGCCAAAGAAAACTTTTGGCAAGCTGAAAGTACAAGGTGCTTTAGTGGTTTCATTTATAGTTTTGATGACTTCTCCCATAGACAAATCGGTTGTCAAACTGAACTATATGACTTTCTTGTAGTGCGAAAAGTGAAAATGGCATTGGAC